CTCCAATCTAGGGTCACACACTCCATTATGTCTATTTTAATCTAGAATGTTTCTATTTAATGAGTAGTCCTATGAACTTGCTAGAAAACCAGAATCTCAGGGCCCCACTCCCCAGCTACTGAAGCAGAGTCTATATTTTACAGGCTCCCCAGATGATCTGCATGAACTATACAGTTGGAGAAGCACTGATCTAATAATCCCTCCTAACCTTTGTTACTTCTTCTTCATGACCCTGACATTTTAGAAGGGTCCAGGCCAATCCTGCTATAGAAGAGTTCACATTCTGGAGTTGTCTTCATACTTTCTCTTGGTTCTGAAAAATTTTTAACAAGAATAAGTGCCTAGGTAAAGTTGTACACTTCTTACTAGAAAGAGGCTAGAGGATTATGTCACATTGTCCCGTATTTGGTGGTTATGTTTAGTCACTTAATTCAGGTGGTAGCCACCAATGCGTCCTTGGCAAAATATGTCTGTCCTTTCTCATTAAGAAGTAGTCTGTGCAGTAAAACTTTGAAGACACAAATGTGCTTCAATAAGCAGTTGCCACTTCTTCACAATCCATGTCTGCCTTACTTCATGGGTTGAAGGCTGAAGATGATGCTGGCCTCGTGCTATCTCCCTTTCCACACTTAGGAGCTGTTATCTTCTGTAAAGAGCTGTCTTTCAGCAGGATGACAGCAAGTTGAGACAGGGGCAGGATAATCCAGATGGGACAAAAGAATGAGCAGAAGCACAGCCCAGAGGAAGGCAAGCCAGGTGTGAAGAGAGGACTGGTTGGGGCAGAGTGTCTGACTAGAGAGGAGTGCAGCAGGAAGTTGAGCTAAATGGCAAATGGAGGGGGGCATTGAGAAAAGAGACAGAGAGAATTAAAAAACTGGATTTGCAAACTGTGGGGCATTCCTAAGTCCATATCAGAGGCCAAATACGCCTTCAACCTCCCACAGCTATCTCTGAAGACCACAGGTGTCCTACTTGCCTGTTAGATAGTGTCTTCAAGCACTTTCTACTTAACATATGGCCCACGGACCAGCAACATCGGCTTGGCTAGAAGCTAACTAGAACCAGAATCAGAATCTGCATTACGTGAAGATTCCCCAGTGGTAGGAAGGCCTTGAAAGCAGAAGAAGCACTGCTTTAAGGACCTGATCCAATTTCTGCTTTCACAGAACACGTCAAACCATGAGCTCCCAAGAAAAATAGTCTTTTCGCTGGGGATTTTCTGTAACCTTTATTCACTTGATACCCAGCTTTATCCTGCCAGATCTAGAGAGGGAACAAGGCAAAGCAATGAAGACCATACTTGAGTCTGAGTCTGTTCTCTGCTATCACCTGTGGGACCTTTGGCAATCGTTACTCCACTTCTTGAAATCTTAGTCCCTAACTCTTGGAGTCATGCTAAAGGTCAAATAAGATAATGCATGTAAAAAGAAGCCTCAGGAGTAACTCTTATTAAGCGTCATCATCTTTAGTAAATGAAAAGGGGACGAAGAGATGGAGGGAGAAGGAAGGGAGTGAAGGAAAAGGAATTACATGTGTTATGTGCATGTAACAACTTCCCAGGATTAATGTAATCATAATGTACTACAAACATGTACTGATCAAAATACAAATTTTTTAAAAAGAAGCTTAATCATGTTAGCTTGAAAATGATAGAAATCTCCATGGCCCACGAGCCACAGCCCTCTTTACAAGACCATGTGAAGACAGAGGAGAAGAGGACATGGAACTCCCCATAGCGCATTCCAGACATCAGTGCTCTTTGGTCATTTGCAGACACGGGGGACATTTGGCATCAAAAGCAAATTTTGGAGCTGATTGCACCTCCACATCACTACTCTGAAAAGAAACCATCCTTTAAGGTACTGAGGCAAATTAAACATATCGTAAGAACCAAGGCAGTCTCCCACATACCTATCATTTCAAACAATTACTAACACTTCCTACACAATATCTCCTTATGTCTGCAGCAACCCAGTGGAGGGAAGGATTATTGGACCCCTACTCTCTGTGACTGAGGAAAAGAGAAAGCAGTTCCATTCGGAGAAGATAATTTGGATGGGGACAAACAGGCTCTGACCATTCTTCCCTTCATACTCAAAAAAGAACTTCAGTATCATTGGGATACCTATCAGAGATCAGTAGAGACCTCAAAATGAGGAAGTACGCTTAGGGAAGTTGAGCAGGTTGATAACTATGGTGATGGAGTTTTCTGAGCAACTTCATGGAACCAAGAATGACAACCTGGGAGGGTCTTTATTTACCTCTGAGTCAAATCTGTGTACTATAGTGCTCAAAGCCAAACCACTGAGCAAAATGATTCATACTTCCCTGGCCAGTGTCCAAATGCCCAGTTGAGATTTGGGGCCCAATTCCAAAACTAGGGGACATCCTGCCAGAGAAGAGTTGGTAGATAGCGCTTAACTGGGGCACAAAGAGCCTTCAGCAAACATTAACCATCATTGCTTTAGCCCTGTTTCTCCACCCTCACCCTCAAGTGCAAGGACTGCATAGGGAAGGGGAAAGGAGAGAGGAATAAGCTTTTCCACCTTTGGCTTCTGAAGGCAGCATCTAATATGGGACAATGGAAATTGCACTGGAGAATTTCAGTCCAGGTTGTGCCACTGACTTGTGACTGCCTTGGTGTCCTCCCCGTATGAAATTAGCTTGACAGACTGAAAGATGTCTAGGTTTCTCTCTGGCTTTGACACTAATCTTGTTTACCATGGGTAGCCAGAAGAAGCTAGAAAGATCTTGTACTCAAAATGAGAACGGACACAGTTTGCTCATGGATTCCTGGGCCCTGGATGAAGATTCAAGCAACAGTATTCTCTGCCACATTGAGTTCTCTCCATCTGACATGACCTTGTCTGAAGTTTAGAAGCCAGGAAGCACTCAAATGAGAAAGGAGCTAGGCTGTCCTTGGCCCCCATATAAGTTAGGTCCTTCTCCCCAATTTTAACTCACAAACGCTTGATGCTCCAAATGTGCACTCTGGGCCAGGGATATTGCCATCATCTGGGAGGTGGCCAGAAACACAGAATCCCAAGCTCTATTCAAACCTGCTGAATCAGAATTGGCATTTTAATAAAACCTCAGGTGATTCTCCCCTACAGTAAAGTCTGGCAAGCACTATTGTAAAGCACTCTATTTTCTTTCACAGCTCTTGGCACAACTTTCCATTCTAATTATATATTTGTCCTTTTTAAATGACTTTGATGATGACATTGGTGGCACATCTTTCAGTGAGTAACATAGTACCCACCACGTGTCAGGTGCTCATCCAGCATGTGTTGAATGAATGATTCTCTAGCATTTCCTCCAGGCTGGCTCTACTGGTCTTGCTATTCTGCGCTGACTCTGGACAGGCCCTGGGCTGCTGATGGATTCTAAGACCTCAGCATCGTGTTTAAATGTAAATGTTTTTCTTTGTGTAGTTGCACATCCTGCTAATTGATAGCCGAGCTTGGCAGTCAGTCATTTGCTTGTTAAATCTTGAAATGTTGACTGTTGTTCACAGAGGCAACACAAAGGGGAATTTTGCAGGCTTTCCTGAAAACTGCATATGTAATTGAATGATCATAGAGGTGAAACACTGTTAAAATAGGTTTAAAACTTTCAACTGAGGCAATAAAATCACGTTCAGAAGAGGAGAAAGGACCTTCGAGACTAAATCAGCCTATATTCCAATGAGAAATGGAGACTGAAAAGTTTAGATTGACTTCCTCATCCCCAGATCACCCAGGCTTTGCTTTCCAGAGATCTTTGTGATTTAATACGCCCCATCTGAATCAGAGAAGTGACCCATTGATCAGAAGACAGTGTCCCAGGAAGGCAAGGCATAAAGCTCCTGGTGGAGTGGTAGAATGAAAATGTTACCTCCAGATGGCCGTAGACATTCGTACAGAGCCCTAAGAAAATCAGGTACGGGCAGCTTTAAACTTTCAGCATTGGTAGAGATTGGAAAGTTGTGTTTCTCCATGCAAATACCCTCTCCAGGTGTTTGTTAATATCTTAATTCAAATCACTACAGGACATACAGATGAATATGATACTTTATTCCTTCCTGGCAGGACACTTAGGGTGACTCCATGGTTTGCAGAGGAAGAAAGAGACGGGAGAAGAGAGGACAGTTAGTTTCTGAGGAATTCTGGGGAAAGAAGATCCTTGTCCCTCTTCTTCTGTGGGCTACTTTCCCAGAGCAGCTGATTAGACTTCCTTTGATGCCCGCCCCCAGCCATGACTCCTTCCTTCAGCAATTTGTTCCACTCAACCTCTTATTTATTTATGTAAAAATTTATGTATATATTTATGTGAATTATAGAACAAATAATATAATGTGTATTTATAACATATAATATATATTTACATTTATTTACATTATGCTTTTGTAAATATTTATATGCTATATTCAGACTTAAACATGTAATAAATCCACAAAGGGCAATAATTCAGTTTATTTATGGTACCTTCACAATTCTTGGCTAATAAATACTCAGTTAATTCAGAATTTCCAACCACAGGAGAGCTAGAATTGTTCCTTCCAGGTATGTTTACAACATACTTTTGCAGATGAATCAAACATGGAAAAACCCATATATATATTTATACAATTCACTTGATTGTTCTTATGTTGACACAAGGGAGCAAAACTAACACATATGGTGGGGGAAATAATAGATTGGAAAGTAAGTGTTCCAGCTGCGGCCTCCATAAATTCCCTGGATAGCTCTGGGCAAGCCACTGTATTTAGCTCGGTCCCTTGCTTCTTGTCCATGAAATGTGGATGGATACTCATTCTTGTTTTGTGTTTCTGATAGGTAGGTTGCCAAATAATGAGTAGGAGCCCATTGTATATAACATCAGTAAATTACTTTTTCAAAGCAAAGAGTCAGAGGATAAATTCTAAATTACAACCCAATTGGAAATTTTTTTAAAAAGTTTTGTTTGTTTTTTTAACTGTATGTCATCCTCATCTTGCTGTTTTCTTTCCTTTCTCCCAGGACTCCGTTCTCAGCCCACCTGGCAACTCCCCTCATAAAGGAGGTAAGATCTTGGAATTAGGAGTCAATGTGTAGTATCATCCAGATGATGTCAAAGAGGTAGCACCCCATTCCCAACCACTATGACTGAGCCCAACAGGAAGGTGGTGAGTGTAGAGGTGGAGTCTGCTTGGGTCAGAGCTGATGCATCTTGATTTACTCAGGAAGTCCCATCCTCACAAACCTCCCACCATTCCTCAACAATCCCACTAATGGATGCTTACCTGGACACTGATGGAAATAGAAAGCAGTTATTTTATTGAGAGCTTGAAACCCTAAAATGGACAAGGACATATATTAGTCTTTTCTCAGCTTTCTACCTAGGAACCTCAGTTCCTGAGTTTTTTTGTCTGTTTGTTTTGTTTTGTTTTGCTACCAGAGATTGAACATGGAACACTGCACTTGCGAGGCAGGTGATAGCGCCACTGACCTAAATCTCAGCCCCCCTGAGCTCTTAAATGGGAATAATAGTACTCACCTCTAACATACTGGAGAAACCAGTCACACCCTGTCTATAAACTGCTTGGCATAGCAACCAGCATGTGGTAATTATTCAATAACTGGTAAAAGCCAAAAGGACTAATGAACTTGAGGACTTCTGAAAACAGACTACTTCCTCATCTTTCCAATCACTGAAATTATTAACTACATCTTGTCTCTACTAGCCCCAGAAGCATGATATGGAGAGGTTAGTTATATGGAATATGAAAAACTCAGAGATATCTGGTTAATATTTTTATCATTCAGAGAAGGAAAAGTAAGGTCCAGAGAGAGAAAGTGGTGTCTTGCTCAGGGTCATATATGGTTAAACCCAGAGGTCTTCTCTAAGCCGTTCTATTCCACCTAAGAACATAATCCCCCTTCTCAGTCTAATATTCTTTAGAACTTGAATAGCTAGTACAGCTAAACAACCAGACAGCTCATAGGGAAAAAGGGAAGGAGGAGGCAGGAGGCTGTCACAGATACTGGGGCAGGGACACTAGGGCATCTTTGGGACCAAGATCTGCCACATTTCACACAGACATCATCATACTTGGAGTTTCCTTTAGGATATGCTTGACCTTGTTTTTTCTTCTTTCTGCCACCCAGAGACTTGGAAAGTTGGGTCAAGAGCCCGCAGCAAACCAGCTCTCTGGGTCTTTCAAAGCAGTTAATAATCACAACTTTGTGAACCATGTCTCAATCTTGGTTGAAATTACTTAATGTGTAGCCTCATTTCCCATAGTGCCTGTGTAGACAGTCACATTAGTGCAAAAAGGAGCCAAGTAAAATGAGAAACAAAGCAAACATCTTGTATACAGTTCCAGATAGTAAATATTTTAGGCTTTTTGAGCCCTTGATGTCTCTGCTGCAATTAGTCAGCCCAGCTGTCACAGTTATAAAGCAACCAGACTACACACAAATGAGCAGGCCTGGCTGCATTCCCATAAAACTTTGTTCATTTACAGAATAAGGTGTGGTGACTTGGCTTTGGCTCGTAGACCAGAGCTTGGTAACCTCTGTAGTGTCAACAGACAGGCTTTGGAGTTGGATGTCTGCATTAAATTGTAGCACACATTTCTATAGTGCTTTGAAAAGAACAAAATGCACTGAGTAAATAAAATTCCCCAGCCCCTATTTCCATCCTTTCACCATTACATCCCTCTTGACTTTCCCAGTAAGACTGGACCTTTTGTTTTTCTAAAGAGAAAGAAGCAACCTTGAACATGGCCATAATCTCAGCATCGTGGGTAGTTTTGATTAGGGGACAGGTCCTCAGCTATCCTGAATCTCAGTTCCTCACATATGGAGCACCTTGATCACATACTAAAGTTCATCAGTCCACAGTGGAATGGAGGAAAGGGCAAATTAGGCTTGTTCATATGGTCAGTTAGCCACAATGTGTGCACACTCTGCCTCTGAGTATGTCCTCCCTGCGTCCTTTGGTGAAATGTCCTCTTACAGTAATAAGTTGATGTGGATGGGACTTAAATTGACTTGCTTTCTGACTGTTTTTTAGTTTTGTATGAATTATCGCAGCAGGCAAAGTAAAAAGCTGCCTGCTCCATATTGGTCCTTGAATTTTCATTTTGAAGAAAAGTTCTTCGGTTTGTGAAATATCCAAAACTGGTCACCATGGACTCAATCACTTACCAGATCTCTTCTTCCACGGGCCATAGAGGAAGATCAAAACAGGAACCAAAAGCAATCTCCATTTACAGTTCAATGTTTCTGCAATCAGATTTTTTTAAATGCTAATAATGCTCCCCACTAAGGCAGTGAAACTTTTGTTAAAGAAAGTTTCATACCACCTTAGTGTTGATCTCAGCCCCAACTCCGAAAGCAAACAACGTGGGAATTATTTTTCTCTTAGCATTCTCAGATAAGAAACTGAGATTCAGGGTATTAGGATGCCTTGTCTTAGCTCTCACAAGGAGTTAATAGCAGAGCAAGGATGAGTATCCGGAGCTCTTCCCAATGCCCCAGACATGGTGTGCTTTAGCTGTCAGATCCAAATGTCTTGCTGCGTATGGTCCCAGTCTTTCTCCTGCTTTTAATGGAAGTCTGCACTTGGCTCAGCAAACTATGGACACTGTAGTAAAGTGAGATGGAAAGAATATCACCTTAGGACAAGACCTGGGCTCCAGTACCCATTTCCTGGGGCAAGTCTTTGAATTTCATCAGTAGACCAACTATAATGTACTGAATGAATTGGAACTCTGTTCAGACTTGATGCTTTCTGAGACTATAATTTTATTGTCTGAAATGTAAAGACAGAAGAAGAAAATCTAACAAACCTTGGGGAATCTGAAGACCTAGCCTCCTTCCCCAACAAGCCAATCTTAAACAGGCACAAGCAGCAAATTGTCCCTTTTGAAGAAAAAGACATTGCAAGACATTCCAGGCAGAGGAGATCCAACTTCTAGAAATGTTTTGAAGGAAGCTCCAGGGGCTGTCACTGGAGAGTGCAAGGGTGGGAAGCTTCTCGGGAGCAGAGTCTGTCGCAACAGCTGCTGGAAATCATCCAGCATCAGCAGGAAACCAGCAGAGGCCTGAGCCTGGGATGCAGGGCCCTGCAAATACTTGAAAGTCACTGAACACAGGATACGCTTAGCTTCAGGGAAACCACAGAATGCAGTTCCTATTCTGATAAGGAGCCCAAATACAAGTCTCCCATTCCTGGCCACAAGTGAGTCCAGCTAACTGCAGCCTCACACTCATCCCAGTGGGCTCAGGACTCATGGACCCTCATGGGAAAGGCCGGAGCTGTGGACCAGAACCAGAGGTTGGAGAGAGACTTTTCTCTGCCTTTCTCCTCTCTGAATGTTATTCTCTCATTTGGAGGAGGAAGTTTAGAATGACTTCTGCATGAAGCCACCACAGGGTCATCCTCATCTCCCTCTGCCACCTGGTAGAGCCTGTATCCTTGAGGCATGGGTTTCAAGCTTTTGCTTCATAGCCAAATAAAATGACTCCCTACCTCACACCGTATACAGCCTGAAGCCAAGAAAGGTGGGGCAAGGACAGCATGGCTCATGCATCTATCTCCTTGTCACTTGTTCTACCTTTATGCTTCCACCACATTTAGTGGCTCCCACATGTGCATGGTATGAGGCTTATTTGTCCAAATCACAGAATGCAGCCACCTTTGCTCTGAATTCCTTGGATTTCAACAATTCCTACATTTGTATGTAGCAACATCTACAGAAAAATTTAGGACATGTAGCGAGCTGCTAGGGCAGCATATCATACCATAGTGCAGCCCAGCAGGCGATGATGTAGAATTGAGTGTGAGCACCCTCTGCTCATGTAAGGAAGGACTCAGCTGTTCCAGCCACTAAGTGTTCCTGAAAGGACAGCTTTTTCCCTGGGTCTCAGCCCTCTGCCATATAAGCAAACCTGCTCACCTTCGTACCTGTATTTATATCCTTCTCCCCATTTCCAGCCACTTCTACTTACCCCTGTAAAATCTGCAGATTTAAATTTGGCCAACTTTATTTTGCAGAATGATTTTGTGCCTTTGGTCTCATCCTCAACTTTCCCAGTACTCCTTGAACCTTGCCCTAATATAATACCTCACCAGCCAATAGTTCTGACCTGAGCTAGATGAATTCTGTAGGTCATGTTTAAGACAGCTTCCTTGTACCCACCATCCAACCACTGCATATATATAGCCTAGCAGAGTAAGAATAATGGCACTAATGGGCATCCACAATGTACCAAAAGCTCACTGAGTACTTTATGATGTGCTCATCCAGCCTCACAACAAGCCCAAGGATCATTATGAGCACTATTTTGTGTGTAAGCAGACAGGAGCATAGAGCCGCTTACTGACTTGTCTAAGGCTTCACAGTGAATCAGGAGTGGGGCAAAGTCTCAAATCCAGTCTTATCTGCCTTGAAGCTCTTCTGTGTAGCCAAGGGATGGGGTATGAATCACTTCCTTCCAGTGACCCTACTGCTCTCCCTGTCTGGATGTCCCACTCACAGGCCTGCACTTCCTCCATGCCAGCCCCCTACTGTCTGTCTCCACGTCTCTGAAGCATCCTGTTATCTTGTTCTGTGGCAGAGAGGGTGAAATTGGCTTCCACATGTGGGTTTGGTGGAGGTCAGTTGACTCAGGGTGATTCCATCCCAAGGTCAGCTGGAAGAGATTTATCTTCCAGCAAATGTCATGTGGCCTCTGACAGCTTCCCAGAGGCTCTAAGGAAATTGGAGAAATAGATAGACCTTGTGAGGGAGCTGAGGGTCCTTTCAGCCTATCCCTAACCCTTGCCTGTATTCTGCCTCCAGCTGAAAATTGGGAATCAAATACAGAGAACTAGATTGGAATTCGGTACATCTACAGTCCAGTACTGAAACTCAAAGCAACTCATTCTTCCTCTTAGAGATGGGATTCCTATTTTTTAGTGTTAGGGAAGGGAGTGACCAGGGATGGATGTTGCTTTGGTGTAATACTCAATTAGTCAACCAACTAGCCCAGTATTCTTTAACCATCATACTGTTCTAACATGTACAGTTTTTA